TTTCAGCATGTTTCAGCTCTATTTCTGTGTGGAGGGGTGGGTCAAACTGCCTACAAGGCAAATTTTCCAAGCACCGCTCAGTTTTGAGATCAATGTGACACGCTTATTTTTGGAATTTGGGCAACAACCGTGAAAGTTAACACAGGGGCCAATTGATTTTGCAGCTCTTTTTGTGGGGGGCATGTCGAACCCAAAGGTCTTAGCTTGCACATGTTGAGAGAAGACCAAGTTAAACCAAGTTGAACTTTGTGCCGTCAAGAACTTCCACCCTCTCCGTCACCTCCGACAAAAGAAACACCGCGGTGCGCAAGGCGCGCCCGTTCGCGATTTTGTGGACTTTGTTTACGCTGCAAGGATGCTGGAAGGTCTACCCAAACTCCTCGCACGGGTGCCCAGAATGAGATTTTGGTGGAACTGGAAGTAGAACCATTTCTTTTGCAGCACTAATTCGCTCCCCGGCAGTTTTTGAAGACATGTTCTTAGTCAGAAAGGCACTGCATCACTTCAATGACATGGCACTACATAGCAGAACGTAAAGAGTCACCAGGCACGTGTAGCGGCCGCAGCCACGTCAAGTGCGACAGAGGTCAGGCATCGCCTGCACAACGTGTCAGGGCGCCAGAGCGGGTGGCCGGAGCGGGGCTGTCATCGCGGAGACCAGAAGTTCCCTACCACTTGGAAGGGTCTTTAATTGTCATCCAGTCTTGGATAGGTGATGGCTACCACTTGAGCGGACCCGGCATGAACTCAGACCAATGAACTTTCTGACCACAGCTTGCAAGCAAGATTAGTACTTTTCAAGCTGTATCCTTTCTGTTTGCTTGCGACTTTTGTCACTTCACATTGTGTATTGCTTGTATTGTGTATGTTGTGCAGCTGTCATATTGCATGACACCAGAGTTTGCCATTTGGCCGAGTATAACTTCTTTTAATCCCCAGGAACACACACTTGAAATATCTTGAAACGAAGAATTGAGAATTGATAATGACAATAGTTTTACAAACATTGGTATTTCATGGTAATTCATGGTGGGCTGAATACATCACTGTAATCCTCTCATCATGAATCATACCCACAGAGGACCCTTGTTAGAAACAACTATAGCAAAGCAGCCTCCCATCGGCCAACCCCGGTGTGTGTCAGGAGGTTCGGGTCTCAGCGCACTCATTGTCAGCCAAGGCCCAAAGAAGGGCTCGTCCTGCAGAGGTGCAAGAAATCATGGAGGTTTCAACCTCGGGGGCCCTTTTTCTTTTGTGTTCAGCTCTATTTCTGTGTGGAGGGGTGGGTCAAACTGCAAGCGTGGAAGTTCACTGAAAGCGTGGAAGTTCAGCTCCAACCTGTTGGAGTGGCTGTCTCATACAAGTCTGGGAGACACAGGGACCGTGGTCCCACAGGAGATTCAGCAGATGGTGAGAGCAGACTGAGTTCAAACTTGGAGTCGTCGTTTTCTCCGAGAAAAGCCTAACGAAACACCAGCACAGCGTGCGACCTGGTCTCCTGGTTCGTGCATTTTTACACGTGTCAGGATGCTGGAAGGCCCACGACTACTCGTGTGGACGCCTGGGATGAGTCTTTCTGGTCACGGCGCGTCGCAACTTGTTGTAACATCACGAATTCTTGGAACAACTGACAAACGTGTTTCTCTAGCAGGCTACCCTGTGTTGGACCCCTTTTTCCTTCGAAAAAGACGATGCGCATCGCCGCATCTCCTAAGCTTTACCACGACAATGGAGGCACCTAAACGCAGCAGGGCGGACCACGCAGCGCAGCGTGCCCGGACGTCGCGTGCCCGGTCACGCCTGAGGTCGCTCCTCGCCACGCGTCGGGGGTGCCAGCATCGAATCGGTGGAGGGGCGACCTGGAAGGGACGGTGGACGACTGCAGTCATGTGCAGTCAAACCTGGACGTCGTAAGTGTCAATTGAGTTGAGAAACTGGAGAAACTTTCTGACCAGAAACTTGCAATGAATCAAGACTTGCGCTTGAAAGCATGCTTTTTTGAGGCGATTCCTGTATGCTTCAACAGCTTGTGACCTTTGCCACTTGACACATGTCGTGTAGCAGTTTTGTTGCATGACACCAGGCGTTACCATCTTATGTTGATCCATTTTGATGCAGGAAGTTACATAAGCAACTCTCAAACGACTAGCATGGACGTTGGTGATATGCAAAGTGACAAACATTGTTGGACGAATTGTTTTATCTTCGCGTCTTAGACTACCATGTAAAGGAACGCACTTGTATAGCAAAGCAGCCTCCCATCGGCCAACCCCGGTGTGTGTCAGGAGGTTCGGGTCTCAGCGCACTCATTGTCAGCCAAGGCCCAAAGAAGGGCTCGTCCTGCAGAGGTGCAAGAAATCATGGAGGTTTTAACCTCAGGGGCCCTTTTTCTTTTGTGTTCAGCTCTATTTCTGTGTGGAGGGGTGGGTCAAACTGTCTACAAGGCAAAATTTCCAAGCACCGCTCAGGTCAGATCAATGTGACACGCTTATTTTTGGAATTTCCGCAACAACGGTGAAAGTTAACACAGGGGCCAATTGACTTTGCAGCTCTTTTTGTGGGGGGCATGTCGAACCCAAAGGTCTTAGCTTGCACATGTTGAGAGAAGACCAAGTTAAACCAAGTTGAACTTTGTGCCGTCAAGAACTTCCACCCTCTCCGTCACCTCCGACAAAAGAAACACCGCGGTGCGCAAGGCGCGCCCGTTCGCGATTTTGTGGACTTTGTTTACGCTGCAAGGATGCTGGAAAGTCTACCCAAACTCCTCGCACGGGTGCCCAGAATGAGATTTTGGTGGAACTGGAAGTAGAACCATTTCTTTTGCAGCACTAATTCGCTCCCCGGCAGTTTCTGAAGACACGTTCTTAGTCAGAAAGGCACTGCATCACTTCAATGACATGGCACTACATAGCAGAACGTAAAGAGTCACCAGGCACGTGTAGCGGCCGCAGCCACGTCAAGTGCGACAGAGGTCAGGCATCGCCTGCACAACGTGTCAGGGCGCCAGAGCGGGTGGCCGCAGCGGGGCCTGTGCCATCGCGGAGACCAGAAGTTCCCTAGCACTTGGAAGGGTCTTTAATTGTCATCCAGTCTTGGACAGGGATACCACTTGAGCGGACCCGGCATGAACTCAGACCAATGAACTTTCTGACCACAGCTTGCAAGCAAGATTAGTACTTTTCAAGCTGTATCCTTTCTGTTTGCTTGCGACCTTTGCCACTTCACATTGTGTATTGCTTGTATTGTGTATTTTGTGCAGCTGTCATATTGCATGACACCAGACGTTGCCATTTGGCTGAGTATAACTTCTTTTAAACCCCAGGAACACACACGGAAGTGTTGGACGTCCATCGGACCTTGCTGATCAGCAGCCGTCAACCACACGACCATCTCGTCCATGCTGTACAATGAATTTGATCTCAAGCAACGGGATACCTTTTAAGGTTCCTTTGAAGTGTCTTATTCTCTCATGCCCAAAGACCACCATTCATAGCAGCCTCGCATTGGCCTTCCGGCCTTCGGTGAAGCGAAGAGATGAGAACCTGAGAACCACGCACATCTGTTTTCACATCATTTCACCAGGATTGTACCCTTGTTCTCTACCTTTGTTAAGGATGTTGCCAAACAATCCAATATTCTAGGGTTCCATCCTATGATTTCCATAACTTATATAAGTCTGTAATATTACCTGTTGCTGTAGCAGTCAGTAAACAAGAAAATCACTATGTTTGAACAGCCGGCCTGCAACCAGGCCCCATCATCCAAACGGGCCGACGGGGCCCAGACCGGACCTCTTTCCCGGTCATCCTGCCGGACCTCACGGCCGTGGATGGCGGAAGCGACCGGCACCCGAGGCAAGATCGAGGACGATTGAGATCAAGGTGGAACCGGCAGGCACCGGAGGGACCGGAGCTGGGTCGATGGGATTCGGTTGGGGAGGATCCGTAGACGATGGCTGCGGGGTCCAGGTCGATGTCCATGGTCCATGGTCCATGGTCCATGTTCTGACACATTTTTGGGATGATGGTCATGGTCTATATTATCTTGTCCATGTTTTTCACCTGATCCCAAAGAACATGGCCGCAAAGAAGTGGATGATGGATACCATGTATGCATTGAAGATCAATGAGTACTGTTAAGAAGGATTCTGGAAAGGGGGACTCGGTGCGACTTGGCAAGGGAATAGAAGGAGTGAAAGCCTCTGTGAGCATTCAGCAGACAGATCACTGACCTTCAGTGAGCTTCCGGATGCTTGTAGAAACCGGTGCAACTTTGCTCCGTCATGGTCCCGTCCTTTTCGACACAGAGGTCTTTTTGGGGAACACGGAGTGCTGCGCCCACCCAACACGTGCTGCGCCCCGCCACTCGCGCTTCTCGAGGCGGCCCGGGTGGCTCGGCCCGAGCGAAGAAGACGACCGCGACGCCTTCGCAGGTACCGGTGGGGGACGCGGTCGGGTGTTCTTCGGCCGGAGGATGAACGGCTCATGTGATCCGGCCCACGTGATAGGACGTTTGTTTTGATCATGGTCTTTTTGACGATTCATGGTCTTTTTGACGATTGCTGTGAACTTGGTTGATACTCGGGAAAGCTGAAGGTAGACACAGTGAAAAGGGGGATGCCTGATTTTCCATGGCACCCACACACATGGTTCAGATAAACAGCAAACATGTCAGTTGTCACCGTCAAGCTGGCAGGCATCTGCTGAGTGGGACAGGCTCAGTGTGGATGCCCAGCATGTGCGGCCACTTCGCGGCCGTGCGAAAGACCATCAACTTGGACGGGCTTGGATGTGGGACCCACTAAAGGCGCTAAAGGCAACCTCCACCTTCGTTTTCAACGACAGTGACACACTTTGGCAACTATATCCCAGACACTCCATCGGACTGCCATTGTCCTTTGTTTGAAGAACTAGATGTTTGTGCTGCCTTGCAACGTCACGGATGGTCTCGTTAGGATGTCTTCCGTTCTTTTTTCGCTCAAGACTTGCTCTCCGCCTTGCATGGACCGAGCCCTGGCGCCATTGGCGGTGGGAGCCACCTTGGGCACGTGGGCGTGGTGGAGGGAGTCCGTCATCCCAGCAATAGACGGCAGCCTCGGTAGGCTGGTGGCACACGTTGGGTTTGATTTGTTGGCTTCCTCTCCTACAAAGACAGGTCCTCAGATCCTCGAAGGTTTCTTGCATATCAGTGCGGTATTCTTGTTGTTGCACTTTTGGACTGAGATCTTGGAGGTGTGTCGACTGTTGCTTCGTTGCATCGTTCTCATTGGTCGAGGTTTTTCTCTTTTGCTGGAGGTAGGTTCAGAGTGTTTACAGTTGTGGGCGCTTTGGGCTGGTCGTTGCATTGAGAGGGCCTTGCACCTCGCAGAACAGGAAGCAGTCTTTACCTCCGAGGGCATGGCCTTAGCTGCAGGTCCACCTATTCCAGTTGGTTCAGTCATCCTAGTGAGTCGGCCACCGGAATGGGACGAGGTGATGATAGGAGCATTCACAGACAACTACAATCATGCAGTGTGCAAGACAACAAACAGCATTGGGGACGCATGGATTTGGGTCTTGGTGCGAGTGGATGGGCTTCATCTACGACTCCCCACCAATGGGGTTCATGGGGAGAGACGGGCACCAGCTGGTATTCCGGATGGGGACATCAACTGGGTGTGCACTCCCCCTGCAGGGGCCAATCAGTGGAGGCCAGGAGTTGCCGAGATCCCGAACATCTGCGCCGAGGCTGGTTTGATCCTGGCCCAATACATTGCGACGGGCAGTACATGGCCAGCCAACATCCCTGGAGTCAGTGGGCCTTTGGTGGAGATCACGGGGGTTGGTGCTGGCCCTCCTGGTCCAGCAGCCGCCGCCGCAGGGGCTTTGGGACCTGCCGCACCCGCGGCAGCAGGGCTGGCAGTTGGTGGCGACAGTCCGTCAGGAGTTCAGTCAGCAGATCTGCATGCTCTGGAGGCAGCCGTCAGGGACCTACAACGTCTTGCAGTGAGCCCAGGCGGACGATCCAATGTGTCGAAGAAGAACAAGAAGAAGGATCGAAAGAAGTCCAAGAAGGACTCCAAGAAAAAGAAGAAGAAGAAGGACAAGAAGCATTCAGGCAGCAGCTCAAGCAGCGACAGTTCGTCCAGCAGCAGCAGCACATCAAGATCCCGGAGTTCCAGGAGTTCATCGGGAGACCGGAAGAGCAAGCCACTGCGCTGGAGGGAACACGGCAAGGACAAATCCGTTTCCTACACCGACCTGACCCACGTGGATGCCCTCAAACTCAAGCGCAAGGGCGATTTGCTGGCGTTTGCCAGCAAGCATCCGGGGGCATTGACAGCTCATTTTTTGGCAGGGGTTTATTCCCGGTTGAGCAAGGGATCCCTGACCAGAACAGGCCAGCTGAGAGATGTGGGCGTGACATCGTGGGCTCACCAGTTCTCGGGACTCACCGAGATTCGAGATCTCAAGGAGGTTGTCACTCTAGCAGAAGTGCTAGACTCCATCAACCGGAAGGAGATAGCGCGAGCCTTAGACATCATTTGTCAGCGCATCATCGCCATCCAGTCGGCGAAGCAGAAAGGAGGGTCTTGGGAGAAAGCGGAAGCGGTCGAACTCATCGACACCCGGAAGTCGCTGGCCAGCTCGGGCATGCTGGCCTTGACAAATGCTTGAGTGAGAAGGTGCGGAGGGCCTGGTTTCGTCGCAGTGCAAGAGTTAGCAATCAGATGCCATTTGATCAGTTTTTCACAGTGGTGGTTGAACCTTTGTCGGAAGCTTGCAAGTGGGGGCATGATGACTTGGGTTTTTGTGATACTTCTCGCACAATGTTGAGGAGATCAGGCCATAGCAAGTGCAAGCGTGAATTCAATACAGTGCAATCACAAAGGGGCGAGGGGAGTGGTTTTTCTCCACCAAATGTTTTTCCTTTGCCGTGCCTTCCATTGGATTTCTTCGGAGGTGCATTAGGGGAGTTGGCAAAGGCAGGCTTGAGCGGTGGAGGCAACTTGATTCTTCTGGCCCTGAACTGGCTGCGCGGGGGTCGTTGTGAGCTTTTGACAAGTCTTGTGACGGCTGCCCATAGGCGCATCTTCACTCGCGTGGGGAAGGCGCTTGAGGCTCTGGTGATGACAGATGAGCCTGTGATGGGGCCAGAGGGGCTCGATCATTATATGAGGCAAACTCAGCTCTACACTGGGTCCGGTGTGGTGCTGGCTTTGGGCGTGAAGGGTGGGGTTCCTGACAAGGCTGCCGATGTACCATTGGGACAGCGTTTACAGGCGCTTTTTCCAGTGATGGCTGAGCAGGTGTCTTCACCATCGCACCTGCTGCTGCCGCCAGCGAGACGTCCCAGGAGAGTCAAACGGGGCTTCACCTGGGTGGCACCCTCATATCCAGAGCTCGTGAAGAAGAATGTGAAGGCGGGACTTCAGAGACTCAAACATCCGAAACAGGTTGCTCGTCTGGGGGGGAAGATGGTTTTGGCAGGGGCTTTTGCAGTCATGAAGGACGACCGTGAGGACAGGGTTATCACTGACCCGGCTGTAAATCAACTTCTTGACCAAGATAGACTCCCCCGACCTCGATTCGCTTATGTGCCATCGCTGAGATCGGTGACCGTTCCTCGCACTGGAGTGATTGTGGTTAGCAAGCGTGATGCACGTCACTATTTCCACCGTCTGCGTATAGGCCGGAGATGGGGGCGTTGGCTTTGCGCACCATCCATTGAGCTTCCGTGCAGGCAAGGGGGGACTCGTGTCATGTTCCCAGCGGCTCAATCAGCACCTATGGGCTTTGGGCCTTCGGCTGGGTGGGCGCAGGGGCTCACCGATGTAGTCGCGAACGATGCACACCTCCCTGAAGACCGGAGATTACATCCTGACCTCATCATCCCTGGAGAGTTGCCCATATGGGGATCCATCATAGACGACATTTGGGGGCTTGACCATTTGGAAGATGAGAATGCCGCAGGTGTGGGTCCAGAGTGGCTCAACCGTGCGGAGGATGTTTGGTGCCTCAGAGGAGTTGAGCCGAATTCGAAGAAGACCGTCAACCAAGCTCTGGGAGAAGAAGTGCAAGGCTACTATATCCACCCCTCTGCCCATTGGGTTGGTCTATCCATGGAGAAGAGGCGTTACTTGTTTCAGGCAACGTTCATGGCTCTCATGAGACCCAAGGTGGTGGTGGGGGTGGCAGATAGACTCATTGGCAAGCACAGCTTCCTACGTGCCGGCCGGCGTTGAGGTCGATCTTTCAAGCGGTCTACCCTTGGATAGCTGATGTACGTGGCAGGCGCCGGGAGCTGGTGTCGTGGCCGGACGAGGTTTGGATAGAGCTTTGCATCTCCACTCTTCTCATTCCATTTGCCCACTTTGACATGTCGAGCGATTGGAGCAAGCGGGTGGAGTGCACAGACGCCTCCATGACAGGTCTGGGGCGGGCCTACGGCATTGCGCCAACAGCGGTGGTGCAGGCAATGGCACGCTTCAGCGATCACAGTAAAGTTTACACCAACTTAACATTGCCTTGGAGCATTGGTTTGACAGAAGAGCACAAGTGTCACATGAGAAAAATCAGATTGCCAAAGGAGCGCATTCGATGGCGGTACATTGGCACACCATGGACGTGTCAGCACATCACGTTGGGTGAGGCCGATGCCATTGCATGGGCGGCTGAGGACAGACTGCGGAGGCCGGGCGATGACGGTGCTTGTTTTGTTCATCCGGTTGACTCAGCAGCATGTGCCGGGAGTTTCACGAAGGGCAGATCCAGTTCACATCAGCTCAACTCACGATGTCGGCGGGTGGCGTCGATTTGCGTTGCAGGGGGGCATGAAGTGTGGTATCCCTGGCTCCCGAGTAAAGACAACCCAGCAGATGAACCTTCACGTCGGTTTGAGCCTGCCGGGGCCTCCGTGGCCAAGGCCGAGGTGGCATCGAGTTCTCCGGCCTTTGATCTGAGAGAGCTTAGCTGGTGGAAGCAGGATACAGTGTTTTTCATCCACTTTTGTTCGGGTCCTCGACGTAGTGGTGATTTGCTTGATGCTGTAGAGATTCTCAGTGCAGAACATGGTATTGAAGTACAAGCCATAGCCATTGACCCGTTGGCTGACGTGGGATGGAAGTTCACTGGGTACAGGGCCGAATTGTTGCAGCATGAGTGGTTTGAACATATCATGAATCTCATTGCTTCAGGACGTGTTGTAGGAGGATTTGGATCACCACCATGCAGCACAATCTCGGCGGCTCGTCACGTTGCGACGCAGGGCAGACAGACCCGTGGACCGCGACCTTTGCGGGCTCGACAAAACCCCTGGGTAGCATTGCCGTATTGCACTTCTAAGGAGAGCATGTCAGTTGATATCGGCACAGCTTTGTTTCTCATTACACTGGGACTACTAGGTGAAATTTGTCTGAGGGGTGGCTGGATAGGCTTGGAGCATCCCGCCGATCGGAAGCGAGAGCCGTATCCGTCGTTCTTCGCCACCCCGGAGGTCAGTCAGTTCACGCACTTCTTCAGACTGTTTTACACAGAGCTAGATCAGTGTATGTATGGGGCAATCTCTAAGAAGCCCACGGGCCTGCTTCAGCAACGCGGTTGTCCGTCGTTGAGCATGCATTGCACTCACTCAGTTCCACATGCACAGCTGCTTGGGCTTGATTCGAGGGGTCACTTTCGTACAACACCAGCTGCGCAATATCCTAGCGGTTTGTGTTTTGCACTTGCTAGCTCATTTGTGGAGCGTTTGGTGCCAGCGCATGTCAACCACTACCTAAAGCCTTTTGCACCACGTGTTTCAAAGGAGTTTTTTCCCGACCCATGGGGCATGTCCTGCAATGGAAGCTATAGGTGGGTTGAACCGTGTCCAGCTTTTCTTGCTGGGGTCCTTGAGAGAATCCACAGTGCAGAAATACACCCTCGCACTGGGTCACCTCAACAATGAGTTGCTGGCCCATGACCGTCACTGGTCCGAGATGTCGGAAGAAGAACAGGACCTTTTTCTGGCGGAATGGCTGGTAGATGCATGTGAGAACGGTTCATCCAAAGCAGTCTATGGATGGGCATTGTCCGCAGTCCAAAAGCTCTTCCCGAGACTTCGCATTCGAGTGGCTTGGAAGGTGTTTGACGCCTGGGGGCAGCGTGTCCCTGTGAGACAGGCTCCAGCTGCCCCACCTGAGTTCCTGCATGCCATGGTTTCCATAGCAATGCTTTTGAACAGAGTGTCACTAGCAGCCTTGATTGTGACTTGCTATGCTGGCCTCCTTCGAGTGCGAGAAGCTTTACAGTTGAGGTTTCAAGACATTGTGGTGGGCGATGGGGACATTGTTTTATGCCTGGGACACACGAAGAGAGGCACCGAGCAGAAAGTGGTGCTTCGAAACTCCTCAGTGGTCAACTTTCTGCGCCAATACTTGAAACACATGAATGGTTCTGGTAGTGACTTGGCTTTCACCGTCTCTTATGCGTCGGCCTTGCGTTGGGTTCGACGGCTTTCTTGGCTCCTGGGAGGTGATGACTTTGTGGTCACCACACACACTTTCAGGCGCTCTGGGGCGTCGGAGTTAGCCCGGCAGGGCACCCCTTTGGCCGATATCCTAGTTTATGGGCGGTGGCAGAGTGACAGGTCCGCTAGAGAGTACATTCGTCAGGGTGAAGTCGCCATCCATCGGACGCGACAGGCCATGAACCCACAGCTGCGCCGTCGTGTCGTGCACTGGGCCTCTTTGGTTAGCTCGGTTTGGGTATGTTACAAGCGGGTACATATCCTCCAAGAGTTTTCTGTGAAGGTGGACCGTATGACTATGTCACTTTTTGAGGCGTTTGAGCAAGCAATATTTTCAGCTTTCAACTTGCCAGTGTGATGGAGGGTTGGGAGATGGAGCAACAAGCGCGCTCGATGTGCATTGCATGGAACAAG